TATGGCTGGGTGTCGCAAACAGTGGTGCTCATGCATCTACTCATTAGTATTGTAACTTCAGTCTATGAGAATGTGCTATCTTTCACTTGAATCTGCTCTCAACATTCTAATCATCATTCTGCTATTTTATCCAAATGGGCAACCAAAACCGGCACACGAAAGTGCATGGTTAATGATTATAAGACCTGAACTGAACTTGAGTTGCTAATGAATGTCTGTACCTTGTTGGTTCTGATAAGTGTGTCATGTTATGCGACCATATTCCGATAGTCCTTAGTTTTGCGGGAGTGATTGGTAACTGCAGCGTGCAACACCAGTTTTGGGTGAAGTTGAGTCTTGCCGGTGATTTATTAATCACATCCAAGAAACTTAACGAAAACAAATCGGGAAGAAAACACTGCCGTTGTTAAACAGACAGTCAGAGAACTGCTACATCTCCCAAAATAATTCTTGAGACGAAATGTAACTAAAATACCCTGGTTTTCCCAGGAGTTACTCTATAGGCTGAGCGGTAGAAAAATTACCCCGTGAAAATTATTATGATGCACATTCCGAAACCAAAGAAAACCGTTTTTTTGAATGATCGAGTGGATTTTCTGGTTTAGTCACAACTGGGTATTTTAAGTGGTTGCCGTCAATTTAAGATAAAATAGGCCTTGCACTCCCAAAATGGTAAAGTTCCAGCACCGTTGAACAGGTAAATTGGATAACAATGTACGTAAAACAAGTGAGCAGTGTAAACATTTGCATAAATTAAAAAAACAATAATGTGATAAGTAATTTATCAAGTACATAATGATGGATTTTTGATTTATTGAGATACGGGAAGACGAGGGATGACGCTATTTTGGTCAGGGATATTATGTGCACGGCGAAACCTTACTTTGAAATAAATACGCAGACGAGATATAAATGGAGACCAGCATACAGACAGATTTTTATTCCACAATATGGTGAATAGATCACATGTTTCAAAATGCTTTTACATAAGAAAATCAACGAAGACAGTGTTCAGAATGCCACTGCAACGGGAAGGATGTCTAATGGCTACAGTTTGTCACTGTTGGGTCGAGAAAGTACTGGAGAATAGTACCACCACCAAGGAATGCAGGCTATCACAAATTGAAGGATTAATTTTATTTCAGATCCATTGAACGGACTACCTTACCGAGCGAATCTGAAGGCACCTGGGCCTTTTGGGCTTGACTTAATATTCAGTGTTTAGCGGAGTTTGTTGAGTCATCTCGTGATGAATTTGCTGATAGTTTGAATGAACGGATAATGGGTTTACTCCCGGGTTTCTTTATAACCTGTACATAGATTTCTCATCATTAGTGGGCAATAGTCAAGCACATTGTCTCATGGGTTGTGTTCTAACCCTTTCACTGTCGACCGCTAGAAACGTCTAACCGACCGTAACATATGAAAACTCAATGATGTAGGAAAAACCATTATCACTGAACTGTCAACGGCTCGATACCATGGTTTATTTAGCGACTCTTATGCTTAAACTGTTATATTTTTTATTATACATGAGGTAACTTATAGTAAAAGAAGTAAACGCCATGGCCAAATGTAGGCTTTAAATGTTCCATTCACCTTTTCCCTTATTTTAGTAACGCCAACCTTAATTTATGTCCATTTTAAGTAAAATAAATTCCTTCGGTGTGATTTTATTGGTCAACAGTTTGGTAAAAATATGTACTGCGTAGGAAGCGTGGTAAAACATTGTTGTTCTCTCTTTTCAGTTTCTTTTACTTGAAATACAAGCAATTGATGGGCCTGAGGAGTGCTTTTTTGATCACGCTGATAAAAAGTCCTGAATGGGCCAAGGCTATGCCATTAAATCATTTAATTTTATGATCAAGTTGTGTATTACAGACGAAGAAAGACCTACCACTTATTCCACACTGCTACCAATAGTTGGTTGATAACTTCCTGTGGTTTTATGAATGACTTTTGGTGGCCTGGTCAGTAGTTTAGTTTCTGACGACTCTTTGGCGTACGGCTATGAGCCCAGCACCATTTATCGTGTTCACTTCGATAGACGCACCTGTCGCCGTTTGTTTCCTGAACTTTGTTCACTAGACGTTTTTCTTTCCGTATTGACATGATATTTCCAATCTGAGCAGTAACTTTCTTGAGCCAAGGTCACCGAAGTGGTGCTTGTACTTGGCTTCCGATACATTTTAAAAAGTGTGTTTAGTTTCCGTTTCATTTGTATTCTGAGCTTGCACATCGTTTTGTCTGGCAATCTGACACAATTTGGTTTGCCCGTCATACTCTTCACACAGACACTTCGATTTGTTACACTGTCAAACGGTGCCCTGTTTTCGCCGCCAGCTTTTACTATTGTATCCCATGATTCTGCTGACTCAGTTGACTGAGGTTTTGCCATTGAAGCCGCAGCACATATGCCAAAAAAACATGGCTCATTCTGATTCCCCCATCTCCATATGGTTTTGAACTGAACAACGATCAGCTGTTCTGGAGGGAGCCTTGTCCGGGGACAACGATTTGAACGAAATCAGGGTTTCTCTCACGGACCACTTGCCAGCACTGTCTCCTCGCGTTCCAAATTCCCCTTCTTGACAGCCTTCTGGTTGTAATCACTTCGGATGGCTGCCACCTCCGTTAGTTCCTTGAGGGTTGCCGTAACTGCTGTAGGCATCTGGGCCTTCGGTTGACTGAGAAGGTGTGACTTTCTTTCAAATGAACTCCTTCAGGATATCCGCCAGTTTGAATACATCCATGATCTTCTCGGCAATAAGTATCCATACCGTCTCTCGCAAGTCTTCCTGCATGCTGTCCATAAAACGATCGAGCAGGAATTCCGAACATGTGGTATCGGCCAACGTCGGGAGCACTCAATTCAACAGGGCACGCAGAGCCACAGCATGCAACAGGGGGTCCACACCAACTCCGAGCTGTACCGTCCTGAAGCTCCACAACGCCTCCTGGCGGTCGACCGGGGTGTGGAAACCTGCAATCAGAGTGTCCTTTATGGTGACCTACTACATCTACTCTGGGCCTCTTCTAGATGCATCCAACACTGCTTGCGCTCGTTTTTTGAGAAGCGCTCGGAGGGCCGTTAACTTAACCCGGTCAGTCCGTATCCCCGCCGGATCCGCGACACCCTCAAACTCCCCCATGAACCCCGCGTGTCTCCATCCTCGAAGACTTAAGACCATGAAACCTTCATCCTCTTCTTGGAGACAGCACCAGATGTTATAATTCCACAAGGCGCTGCCTGGGCGAGGATAGTTAATTATTATGTATAACGGTCAAAGCATCGGTAAACTGGCATACATAAACCAAATGTCTCATTTGGAACGAGTCTTCAGGATTCCCACGCGCACACGGGATAGTTAATGAAAGGGTCACCATCAGATTCTTGTGGTTATCATATTGCACATAGCAATTCAATGAAACAAGTCTTGATCAGTTTTGATGGTTGAAAGAAACCGCCAATCACACCCTTTTGCATAATACTCACAAATGTGGGTAGTATCTTATAACAATGGTAAATAAAGGATTGGGAAATCATGTGACAGAAGCAAAGCTGAAATAGCATCGTTAGCAACTAAGTAGGTCACACTGGATCTCTTAGATATCATCAAATAAAAACCGAAGCCATTTGTAGGTTATCGTCGGTTAGTCGACCTGTATCGCGGTAAATTGTGTATTACCCTCTGTGACTACAGATACCATAAAACCTAGTATGAAATATGCGTGAGTAGACCATTATTGAATCTTTGATGGCGAAGCCTTTGATGGTAGATTTTTCATCTGCGTAAGGCTGCGTGTTACAGTGAAGTTGTGTTGTAATTTAGCAGCCTCAATTCCGCACAGTGGTAAGGTTACTTTGTTCTTACCGGGGTAATGCTTCTTTAAAGCACTTACCTTCTCATAAATAAAATGGTTATACCAAAGTGAGGGACAGAAATACCAGTTTTGGGAACTGTTTCCTGGTTTATGATCCAAGGATAGCTAGCCTATCTAAAAGACCTGAAAATGCCTCTTCAAACATATCGAAAAGAGGTTTACAAATGATAACCGAGACGTTTTGGTTTCTAAGGTTACCGGTTTCATCGATTGAGGGGGTAAGTCGGACACCCCGTGTTTATGAATCACTTTCTAAGGGTGCAAGATTCACCTAATCAGATAGCGACACCCAGTAAACTGTGATCTGTGAACACCGTCCGGCTGCTTTGCTTGGCAGACTTTTTCCAGCCAGATGCTCTGATTGTTATTCATTTAAAAGTCATTGCCTTGAGTTTGATTTTCTGGATAGAATTGCACCCGAAAAACAAATATTGATATTATTTCGGTTGTATTATATTTCCGATGCTATTACATGTATGGGATGCAGTTTAGACCTCAAAACGGGTAAATTACACATCGCTTGAAGTGGATAATTTGCAGCAGATGAATTGAATATAGTTGGATCGCAGTTTGTACATTTCCCTGGGCGATGCTTGCTGCATAGATAAAGTAGCTTCTCTTTATCTTAATATCATTTCGTTTGAAGTAAACGATGCTGCCTAGTCTATTAAATCTAGAATGTCTTTGTTTTCCCTAAATCCAAATATTCTAGATTGATGAACCAATTTTTTGGTATTCCCGCCTGATTTTGTATCCACCCAGATCACTAATAATCTTGCATCTTATTCCAAGAAGCCGGCAAATTTCAGTGTGCAGCCAGAAAATGCATATCAGTGTGGAAACATTCATAGTGGTCTCCAAAAAGAAATAACAAATCTCTGTTATTCCTACGAAAAGGTGAGTTATTCATGTTGCCTATTTGTTGTCTCTATTCATTTTTGAATGTTTGAAGTCAGATACTTGCTTTCTGAGATCAGAAAGTCCATGCGCTTAATAATTTGTTTCACTCAGTTATGCAATACTTGTTTTGTTTTCACCTCAACCTTTATTGTATTTGATTATTACAATTAATGACTGCCTAGGGATTAGGGAAGCATATAGCAAGGTTTTGCCATAAAATTAACGAGCTTGAACATTCAGTGGCGGTACCTTGCCACATTTTCAGCCTTTGTTTGCTCTTGCCAATTTCATACTCGGAGCCTGATTTCACTTTAGTGCCAACGTCTTGATATATTACTTCTGTCATCATTTGTTTTATAAATCATTTTGTTCTCTTTGCTTCTCCTTGTCCTGAAACTCCCGCCCAGATAAGCAGTATTATCAGCCTTATGAACAAGCTACGACCGGGTTCAGTTTCACGCACAGCTGTCACAACTCTAGAAGAGCTTTTGGGCAGTATTCAGAAATTCGCGGCTAGTACATACGGTCATGCCGATGCAGGGAATGCACGTGAGCGGAACTCAGAACCAAGGGTCTTGGTAAGTTTTACACTGTTTCCCTAGAACATTGGTTCTTTGAGGTCATCCTTCTGACACATAAAATTTTGTGTTGTGAAAGAGCTTCATAATGGGGAAGATAAAATGAAAACATTAGTGTTTATGCTTCAGTTTCCATCACACGAATAACCCGCATATGTGCATATGCTTGTGTATTTACGTATATATGTGCGCATGTACTTATGTATTTATTAATGTATGTATGTATCCATACACGCGTGTATTTATCTGCGTGGATTGTATTGTTGTATTATAATGATTTGTTCAGGCAACTGTGTCTACATTTTAGTCAAAAAGATGTGTTCTTGGTTGCAATTGGATAAAAAAATGAAAATTTGTGTACAACAATAATAGGACTCAAACAGGAATTCATCTTTGTAGGTTTGAAAGTGATTCGTTACGGTTCCTCGCCGTGTCAATGAGAACACGAGACAGATAAGGAGCCGTTGAGTTGCGATAAATGTTTATGCGGGAGGGTAAGCAGCGATAATCTAATCGGGTTGTAGCGTGGGAATGGCAGTAACCGACTGTGCGCCGTATGTCTCAACGGTTCATCAGTACAGCTACAGAACAGAGCGTTGATGCCTATTCGCCGTATCGGTGTATGCACCGACCGATTGCAGTACACCTGAAACCAAGGATGAATTCTACAAGGACCTTTGTCGATTAATCCAAGGGGTTCGATTAACGGACATCATGGTAATCGCCAGAGACTTCAATGCTCAAGTGGGATCCCTGGCCGAATCAGAAAGGCGGACCACATGCAATCCCAGCCAACCGGAAGGACAACGGTGATCGTCTACTTCAACTCTGTGCGGATCACGGAT